AACTACGCCGACCCGGCGGTAAAATAAAAATAAGAAACTAAGAAAAGAATAGTAACAAGTGACTAACTACGAGGCTCTCTAAACGTAACTAACCTCACCGCGTTCTAAAATACCGCTGATAATTCAGCAAACTTCTGAATATTACGTTGAAAGATTAACAATCTGCCGAGGCAAGCACACAGGCCGAAACGCGTGGTTCTTCAGTTTCTAACTAGCCAGCTCCACGCTCGTGAAGCAAGAAAGCACACTTTCGAACTCGTTTCCTTTCTATTTAACTCAGATTACTTTCGCTGACAATTTGAATTCTTGCGCGTTCTACTAAAATTTACATACTCTGGCATTGGCAATTCCAGGGGAAAGTAAGGCTTGACAGGAAAGATAGTTTAAACTTAAAATAAATGTTAGTTAAAATAAATATAAACCCTACAAGTTTTTTCAAAGACATTATGCATTTGCAAGGATATAGTCATGAGCAGGAAGTACGTCTAGATTTTGGTGTATATTTTAATTTCGGACGAATAACGGTGCATTCGTGATCATTCTTAGAAGTTTATTTTGGAAGAGATGTAATTTCTTGTGATAAGATTTGGGAGTTGTAGCCCAAACTGCAAAAACATGAAAGAGAATTGGATGAATCATTGTTATGTAGACAGTCTTTTTAAATTTCAGCTGATCATCTAAGATTACACCCAGATATTTTGTTGAATTTACAACAGAGAAAAACTGACTTCCACTTCGTATATTCAAGTTCACAGGGTAGCTTTTATTGTATCTCCTGAATCCCATAACACTAAATCTACTTGCATTTAACTTAAATTTCCATATATTACTTAAGTTTGAAATTGCATTTAAATAGGACTCTAGATTTGCTATAGCTTGATTTGATCATAACTACCATATCCAGCATATTCTGAAAGCTTGCTGCTAAAAGATTCTGGCATATCATTGATGTATGTATTAAAAAAGTATGAGTCTTAGTAGTGACCCAAAAATTTTTAATTAAATATGTTGGGTTTAGAAAGAATTCTCCAGCAATTCGAGGCTTTGGTGAGTGGGGGACGTCGGGATCCTTATATGACCTTTATGGACTCATCGGCTGCAAATTCTTATAACACTCAGTAGATTTTAATCATCGCTAGCATATAATATGAGCTTCAGGTAGGCTACGATTGTTCCACGATTGAATTCTGAAACGTACTGGTGGGACTTACAAAAGGCATAATATGACTTCTAATACGAAAGGCAATGCAAAGCCGAGGTGGTTTCCGAATAAAAAATGGGATTTTTTACATAGAATTTTATACTGCTTCTATGTATTAGTAATTTTGCTTAAAATGTATGCATGCTGTGAAATGCTTTCGCTTCTTCCAAAATGTTAAAACCTTTACGCAAATTTCAGATTTCCTGTGTGCTTCTTTCATAGTATAGCATTTTTAAGGCCAGCGATGTATGCTATGTATAACATAAAAGTCCTAGTGGAGTTACTGGATGAAAGTTTTCTTGACTGATGGATTGGGTATGATGGTCACACTCTGAAACGAGTGGAGAAAACGATAATTTGATTCCATCTCGCGGAGACATTTCGTCTAAAGTTAATAAAAGACAATAACAGAGATGTGACGGAGATCAACAACGTTTGTGATGCAAAATTTCAGATATTTAGTGTTTGGGTGTTTGAAATTGAATTTCCCTTTTCATCTCATCGCAATTCATGTTACAAGTAGTTTCCAATAAGAATAACTTCTAATAAGACAAACTAGAAATTTTCCTTGCGTTATACACTGACTACCAATAAGTATTTGGAAACCTATGCAAATGACGATATCTGCGGTCCCAAGGTACGCCATGGAGTCCGCAGGTATATATCGTGTAGGAAACAGCATCGGCTTTAGTCGTATGCAAGATGCCTCGCAGTTCGGAGCTCTCTGATTTCGAGAAAGGTATAATTATCGGGTATCACAAATGTGGCCGATCCTTAAGAGACATATCTAGCGATCTGAAGTACCCAATATCGACAGTGGCCTATGTGATTAAGAAGTGGAAGGTGAGCGGTGATTGTCGGAATGTGCCCCGAGTCGGTAGACCAACGAAACTGGGGGATAGAGACCGACGAGTGCTGTTCAGAGAAATTCGGAAGAACCGAACTCAACCGATAGCCCTCATCCGCGAGGAGTTTCAACAGGCATCTGGGAGTATTGTTTCAATGAATTCCATCCGTAAGGAAGCACATCTGCTTGGTTTTCATGGTCGTGCTGCTACCCATAAGCCTTTGATCACAAAGTCTAACCGTGCTGCTCAGTTAATGTGGTGCAAAGCACATAGAAATTGGACCGTAGATCAGTGGAAACGGGTTCTTTGGAGTGACGAATCAAGGTTCACCCTTTACCGTTCGGATGGCAGGGTCTGGGTCTGGCGTCTACCTGGAGAACGTCTCCTGCCAGAATGCATTGTGCCAACAGTCAAGTTCGGCGGAGGTGGAATTATGGTCTGGGGGTGTTTCTCCTGGTATGGGCTGGGACCCTTGGTCCCCATTCATGGTAAGCTCAACTCCGATGCCTACTGCACTATTCTGGATGACAATGTACTTCCTACGTTGTGGCAGCTTTACGGGTTGGACCCCTGTTACTTTCTGGACTACAATGCCCGTTGTCATGTTTCGACGTTAACCAAGGCTTGGTATGGTGCCAATGGAGTTCATCGAATGGACTGGCCTGCCCAGAGTCCAGACCTGAATCCTATCGAGAACCTCTGGGACGAGTTGCATAGCCGAATTCAGGGGTGCACTACCCGGGCACAATCTGTGAAGGAACTTATATGTCTTCTCCAAGCCGAGTGGAAGAAAATACCACTAGCTGTCATATAAAGGTTTGTGGAAAGTATGCCCCGGAGGGTCCACGCTGTAATTACCTCTCGTGGATGCTCTACCAACTATTGATTTTAAATAAAGTTAGTTTTTCTTTTCTATCACAGGTGTCCAAATACTTATTGGTAGTCAGTGTATTAGGTCACATTTAGTGGTATATGAACTTTTGCTAATGAATATTTAACTTTTGCTAAGACATGCTAATGAATTGCGGTGAGCAGTTCTAATTAAAGTCGCAATTAATTCACTAAAAACTAGGCCTCTTTATTTTTGACTATTAACTTACTGAAATAGGGCACTATTTGATAGATTATTTTTTATATTTTTTGCTAAAAGAAATAAAGTAGACTGTATAACATTTTAACATTTCGAAATACTTTAAGAATTTATTCTGTACGGTTGATGGATCGGATGTGGGAAAACTTTCACAAGCAAACAGTAACTTTGAAAACATAATTTTAAAATTTGTGATGCTATTTGGATGTTGCGTTTCTCAAGTCAGAAAAGATGTTTGTCTGATGAATTTGTAATTGCGTCGTTAATAATAAAAGTAGCCTTTTCGTACGCCTTTCTTGTTTTTAAAGAGATATTTTGTAGTGTCGTTAGGATTTCTGATGCTGGAGACATGAAAAGTGTGCAATATTTTGGCCAGGACTCGAACCTTAATCTTTGGTATACGCATCGAGTATGCTTCCAGGTACACTGTGAAGGCACATGGAAAGGAGAGAGAAAATATCTTATAAGCCACTAAATCTTTATTTTATTTTAGTTTTATGAGTTGAGTTTTCATTTCATGTACTTCAATAAAGAAATTAAAGGATTCCGCGTATAGGTAGTCAACGAGTTAGTGTCTTAGAAAATAAAAAACTGAATTTTTGTTTAAAATGAGGATAGAACTCAAATATAGCGGAAAATTGCAATTTCTGAAAACGACACAGACAGTACAATTTTGACATATACTTCTTTTTTTTATGGGGGGGGTTGCATTAGTATCTACAATAAATCGAAACTGTCATTTACTCTTTGAATAAAATTTTTTCAAACATCTGCATGAAGTAATTTTAATTATTTTAGAAATTAAGCTGGACAATACATTTTGATTGGTCAACTGTTTTCATGGTGTTTTTTTCAGCCCGTCTGTATGGGAATAGTACCAGTGAAAATTAAAACCGTACTGCATTAAAACAGAATCTGCTTTTATAGTATAAGGTATTTTTCCCGCCTTCTTAGCGTGCCTTCGTGATGTAGTGGTCTGCATGCAGGGCGCGTCTTCCAGAGGTCCTTGGTTCGATTCCCTGCGAAGCTTTTGCTCATTTTTCATCTTTCCTGCTTCGAAAAAATAACTAATGTCTCTACAGTGGAGCCCGACCTGAAAGGGTGGTGGATGATGATTCTCCACACTCAGGATTTGGCGATTGGCTTCCCTAAAACCCCAGTTGACTTTAAAGGGTGGTGGATGATGATTCTCCACACTCAGGATTTGGCGATTGGCTTCCCTAAAACCCCAGTTGCCCTTTAAAAGGGGGAGTATATAATGTATTTCTCCCGCCTTCTTAGCGTGCCTTCGTGGTGTAGTGGTCTGCATGCTGGGCGCGTATTCCAAAGCTCCGTGGTTCGATTCCCGGCGAAGGTGTTGCTCATTTTTCATCTCTTCTGCTTTAAAAATAACCAAATATCTCTATAATAGAAAGTCATGTAAACCAAATTTCAGTAACATACTAATGCTAGCTGCATATACTAATTACTTCCACGGCGAGAACACGCATGGGGCAATGTAATAGTTGTTTATAACTGTTCTGTTGCCAGATGTCGCAAATCAGCAGTGGTCGGACATGTTCCATTGTTTTAGTACGAACAGTAATAAAGTTCATGAAAAAATGCCTCAAAACATCGTTACTGTAAATCAAATGAGTTAGTGTAAATCAAAACATCGTTAATTTATCAAACATTATATTAAAATCTTTAACGCATCCATTGATGGATATTTACAGAACTTTTTTATGCATGCAAGCAGTTAAGCGTATAACTCCTTCTTTAAACAGAATATGCTGCAGTTCAAGTTATAAAAGGTTTACTGAAGTTTGGATGTAGTGTATTTTGACCGTCCTGCATTCATTTCGCATTTATTCTATTGCAGACACATGTGGAGAACATGAGATATACAAACAGTGTGGAAGCGCTTGTCCTCCTACATGCGCAAATCAAGGTAAAGTTCAGTCATGCTCTTTGCAGTGTAAAAGCGGTTGTTTTTGCGAAGATGGTTTCGTGAGAAATTCAGAAGGAGAATGCATCAAACCAGAGGAGTGCGAAGATGAAAGTGGAGACAGCGGAGATAATTCTGGTAATTGTCTGATTCTTGAAAGGAGCATATTTTAAGGTTTAACTTTACGTCTAAATTCATTATTAAGGTCTAATACTGTATTCCCTAGAGAAATCATATACAAACTTTTCAGCAAGTATATTTGATCTTCTTTCTAAGGCTTTACATTTTTCTTTAGAAGAGTGTGCCGAGGATGAGGAATATCAGGAATGTGGAACTGCTTGCCCTGAGACGTGCGAGAACTTTGGAGAACCTCGGACATGCACTTTGCAATGCGTAAGCGGTTGCTTTTGCAAAAAAGGTCTAGTCAGAAATTCCAGTGGGCGATGTGTTATCCCTGAAGACTGTAACAACGGTAAATATTTTAGGATTTATGTTTGTTACATAGTACTTTAATAATTTTTGAGTGCTGAATATTTTCTATAGAATGTTTGTTATAATTTTAGAATATTTGTTTTAATAAGCGCGGTTGTTGCTGTTGTGTATTAATTAACAGTGGATAGTGAATGTATTAATTTTTAAAGAAAAGTGAACATATAATGTTAATATTTGAGAACTAATTTTTAATATATTATTATGTAAACTCATTTCTCTTTTGAATGCCCTAGTCTTTTAAAAGTTAGCGAAAAGGTTTATACAGCTAAAAGGCGGGTGAGTTTCGTTTCCACGAGGCTACCCACTTTGGGGTCATAGGCAGGAGGACTGTTGCGCTTCCTTCCCTTCCCTTTTCTCCCACATTGAACAAGTGCTTTGCTCGTTAGAGGCGAAATACTTCGGCTTTCTTCTGAAATGAATACTTTCTATTTTGCTTATTACTAATTGGTGTCGCATCGTTAACAGAATTACGGTTGAAAACATTCTTTGAAGTTTGGCGCGAGAAGGAGGTATGTCACGTTTAAAAAAGAATTAGATTTTTTTTTGGAAATTGGGAAGTAAATTATGGCTCTTTCTCTCGTTGGTTAGAGCGAGTTCAAGTTATGTGTTTGATTGGGCAGATGTTAATTTATAGTTGAGCAATAGTGAATTTAGAGGCGGTCCGTAGTTTAGCCTTACCGAAGTTTTAAAAGTTTTTGCTCGGTGGAATATATGAGACGACGTCTGTTGTTAACCGAAAAATCATAGTTAACCCACGGGAGTGAACAAAAAGAGGCAGAAAAGATGAATCGCTCATATAATAATTACACAGAATAAAATCAAAGACCTGCATTTTTGATGCATTTAGTCTGCAGAATAAATTCATTTTGTTTCGTAAATTAAATACATATTAAAAGAAACATATTGCGAATAATGAGAGCCTAAAAATCTTTAGTAACAAAGTAACTCAGTTATAAATGATATTAAAGAATTATTTACAGAAGAAACTTAAAAAAGGTCATTGAGTTCAAACTTATAGAGAAATGTAGGCATACATCTTTGTTCTTTATTTATTATTTCTTTCCAATGGTAGATTGTGAACAATTACAAATGTAACCCAGTCCATTAATCTATACAAGGCCGGATCTGGTGGTCTCTTTATCATGTAGGCACCTAATAGGTGGGCCACCATCGCCTTTCCTATGAAGGGACGGACAATTACAACCATTTCTTCTCCGGGATTCGAACCCAGGCCCTTCGGCATCGCAGTCAGCTTCCCTGACCACCATACCGACTGGACAGCTTTTTGTTCTTTATTGTACAATGTATTATGTCACCCTGATTACGTGCTATTATGGATAAGAACAACTGCCAAGTCTATTACAGCTTCTAATATCATTGCTTTTATGCCGTGCATTTTTTCTTTTTTTCATATATTTCACAAACAGTTTTTACTGTTATTGGTTGTGATAACAAATTTTCTCGCGTTTTTCCAATAAAAGAGCTTAACTTCTTTGAGACAGCTCTCAATCAATCGGCAGTTGACTGTAAATAATAGCAAAGTAAGAGAAAAAAGGGTAAACATAATACAAATATTTAATGATATTGAAGTAAATAGACTATGAGGTAGTTAATTATATTATAAGGCAAAAGATAAAAGGAAAATCAGTATTTTGAAAATTGTTTTAATTTAACTAAGACCCTACAGTATACTATTTAATGAAATATTTCAATAAACAATTAAATATCATCAGAACTCATCTTTTTTTCGGGTCTCAGTTCGTTTTGACTAGAAATCAGTTTCTTTAAAAAAAAATTGGAACCGAGCTCTGGCTGAATTTAAATACCTGTGTAGTGCATCTCTATAGCTTTAGAACTAAGTTTATTCAAAACCGAAAATTTTAGGAGACAGTGGTCTTGCTTTTCAGCCTTCGATACATGATCATTTTAAGTTTATTCAAAGTTTGGCATATTCAGACAGCTGTCTTATTATATTGTAAAACTCAATTCTAGAGTACTGTTTAAATCTTTGGCTACGGTTTTCTGAAAAACTTCAAAGTGACTTTCGAAGTGAGACGCTATGTAAGACAAAGTGATGCCAAATGTAGTGAACAGGAGTGGTTGAAAGATATGATACTTTCTTTGCCAGAAACTGCTTAACGGTAATCAAATTATGTGAAGGCTCACTGTTGCGCAGTAAAAAATCCAAGCATTGAGCCTTTTTAGGCCTAAAGCGTTGAATTCTGTTCACACATCCGTACGCTGCATTCTCCTGAAGTATTATGTTCACTATTTGTTTCTCAGGAGCAAATTCATTATCAGCATTACTCAAGATTTCTTCCGAAACCAAAGTGTCTTGGTCGTGGTGAACTTTCTCCAATCCAAATAAATGATTGCTATTTTATTTCAGGATCATAGATAAATCAACAAGTTTCATCTTGAGTCACAATTTGAAAAAAAAAATAACGATCAGTTCCCTTTTAGAGAAAAGATTTATTCCTATTCTTTGATAAGCTCACAAATTCATTACAGCAGATGTTCACCGGGTCAAAGCAACTGATTAACAAAATAGAAAATTCTATAAACAGACGACATTTGAAGGATGCCAGAGCACAGAGGTTATCAATTATAGTTTACTGGAATTGGTCAAAAAAAAATAACTAGTATTCAGATTTTGTAGATATTGTGTATTTTCTTATGAAAGTATCTTAAAATAATGACACGAGATATAGTATTTTAGTCTTTAATAGTTTATGAGTAATACTTTTCCACAGTCTATGGTTTAAGAGGAGTAAAACAAAACTAATCTTCCAAAAACTGGTTTTCAAATTTTGATTTTATAAATATAATTTATGTGAATATTATTATATCCTTCCTACTATTACATTATTATACGCTTGCCCTTTCAGAATCAGGTCTATTAGAAGTAGAGAATGTTTCAGAGATATGTATTCAAATGAGCATTTCCTTTATTGTAAGCATGGGCTGAAATGAAACTCCTAAACGTTAACTTCTTGGTATAAATACATTGAAAATTTTAGAAAGAAATACGGTTAAATTCTTAAAAGAGTCACTTTTTCTCAAACTCAAATGTTGAAAGGCTTAGAGATTCAGTCAGGCAATGACAGAGATAATATCAGGAATTTAACAAAATTAATTTTTCAAAGTTTAAACGATGATCTGAAAAATCATTTAGGAAATATGAATTCATAAAATGGTAGAATACAGGGAAACGCGAAGCTACAGAGGAGTTATTACAACATAATTATAGTGCAGGAAAATTTTTAAAAATAAAATCTAAAGAATAAAAACATAACAGAGAAGATTTATATGAACAGATTTATGTGGTTTCACATAATTTTTGCGTATATTGAATAAACTTGTAAGATTCTAGAAGAATTTTAAAAAATAAAATTTAAAGAATAAAAACCTAAAAAGGGGGATTTATAGGAACAGATTTATGTGGTTTCACATATTTTTTGCTTATATTGAATAAACTTGTAAGATTTTACAGTAATTTAACATGCCAGACTACTGATAGGAGAATTTTAAAAATCAAAATTTAAAGAGTAAAAACCTAACAGAGAGGATTTATAGGAACAGATTTATGTGGTTTCACATATTTTTTGCATATATTGAATAAACTTGTAAAATTCTACAGTAATTTAAGATGCCAGACTACTGATACCACAAAGAGAGATAGGCGATCTGTCCTTCCATCTTACTTCTAACTATAATAAATACAACTCATACTGAAGGGTTTTTTTTTAAAAATAAAACATACTTATGAACACTTCAAACCTATGGTCACACAAAATTAGAAATTGTAGCACAAATGAAATATCCGCTACTTATGAGAAATGTAGAATAAACATTTAGTCAAGTTAAAATGTGGAATACAATTAGCACAAGGTTAAATAGGCTTTGCTGTGGGATCTAAATGGAAGCTTGGCATTTTCGAAACAAATGCGGCGTGTCGAAGCTAAAGCCCTAGGTAGTACGGAAGCGTATACAGAGTTACGATGAGCAAGGTTGACAAAAGGTGTCTTACAAACTACAGAGCTCTGCGATTAATTACGTTAACTAATTTAAGTTCTGGTGGGATTTGCCGAAAGTAAAATTGAAGGTACAGACAAGCTAATATGATAATTGGTTTGAATAACATAAAACCTTATAAACCAATTTAAATTTATATTTCTAATATAAATTCAATTATTGAGTCACTGAGTTTATTCAAAAATATGCTACATGTTTTAAATTTTCAATTTCTGTAGCATTCAAAGCATTTTCCAAATTTCTGTGCTATATACATTTTAGAATAAAACAGATTCACTTAAATATCTGAATAAATATCCGAATAACTGTAAATATCAGTGGAAATTTAAAGTATTTCTGAGAAAATAGAACATTTTATGCTTACTTAAACGTCATCATATATATAAAATTTATTGATTCCAGGCTTTATGATTCTATTCTATTTTATGATTTCTTCTCCCTCCCCCAAAACACATTATTGAGAATAAAAACTAAATTTTTACATGAACTAATGTAATAATGGCCAGTTTTTATAAATCAAATATTTTAATCCTGTAATAAATTTTAATTGGAAAACAATCAGGTTTTCGAAAATGAAAATTTCTCTCTTTTTAGCTGTCACTTCTTTTATAGCGTCTAAATAATTCTAAATTATTTCTAAATAATTTTAAAACCGTCGTGCGTTTAAGAGTAAATAAAGTATAGAAAATAGAAATAATTTTCTGCTTTGCCTACTATTCTGTTACTTAAATTTATAAATTTAGAATTAAGAATTGCACATAATTAATAAAATATAACAGAACAAATATACGTACCTTTCAATTTAATTTCTGGAAATGTACAGACTGAAGACGTGAGTAAAGACTTTAAGTTTGAAAGAACTGCGAATTTTCATATATAGTATTAGGACTTCATATTTCTTTATTGGTAGGCTACGTAATACAATATTCATAATTTTGCTACAGA